CCCATCCTTACACAGAGATCGTAGTGGCCTTACACAATCGTTCTGATCTGAAAGACACGTGTGATTACTGGTAGGTCTGGAGGTAACCAGGCAGCGTTAAAATGACAGAATTTCATTGGCCTTCGTTGTTCTGAATTTCCCTTGAAATATATGATACTGGTAGCCTACTTCCACTTAGCCTGCCTCAAATAAAATTTCGCTGTTATGGCATAAGAGTTTCCATTAAGTTTTTTTAAAACCTTGTTTCGCAAGTCAGTTTGGCCAAGATTCCATTCTGTGTGTTTTTTTGTTTTGTTTTTTTTTCGCATTGCCATGCAGAAAAATTGCAGCTGCTGGAAGATCTCTGAATAATGTTCTGTATACCGTCATGGTAATTGTACTTTTTCAATAAATGAACCTAGTATTTTATAGGTTCAAAGAGACATACAATCTTGTTTTTATTCATTCCACTGGTAGTCTGTTTTGATCAAATAGAAATAAAGGCCTGCCTCTAATTCTGGCCTCCTTCCAATAATGCCCTGGACCAAGATGTACCTGAGTGAAATAAAGGCCCCGTCCTATATTAGAAGATTTACGGTATATATGTCCCAAATCTTCATCTGAGACTCCTCTATAGATGCTTTATTAATTCTAATATCCAGTGACCATAGCTCTAACACTGTGCCAAATTATGTTTGAGTTTTGGTGGGCCTGGCTTCAAAATCACACATAGCAGCGCTGATTGATGCATTGCTAATGGGAGCCAGCAAGAAACATAATTAGCAAAATTCTGATCAGTTGCAGCTGACCTCTTAAAAAAACTGAGTAAAGTACATAAAATGTGTTCTACCTTCATTTTTATTTATCTGAGGATATTTTCATCTGGATAAAGGTCTGTTTCTGGAATATATCCAACCGGTAGTTTATCGTTCATCTAAAAGTTTCTTAGTCTCAAAAACAAAATTTGACCAGGTTTACAATATAACAACATATCTGTTCTTGTTTCTATGTTAAAAGAGCAGTTAATTAATGGCCTTGTCAAAACTTTGCTCAAAAAAGAATATAGGTAATGAGGCAAAGGAGTTTCTATATGGTCATTTTATTACCAGTCAAACATGAAAAATGCAGCAGGGCCGAGCTCAATTCGTGGCAGCGTTGTGACAGTTCCGGTGGCTTGTCGGCCTGACACGGCTTTAGTACTGGCTGGCACGGCATATTACTGGCAGCAGCCACTAGACTCACACCGTTTACTGACACCGTTTCGGCTGCTGTAGAAGCTGTTTTTAGGCAAATTACCCATTTATAGTACCTCTTAGTAGATTGTTGTTTTAATATTGTGATGTTATTGCTTAATAACCTGCATTAAAACTTTTATAAAGTCTCAATTACTTGATGGAATGAAGTAATTCATCTGCCACTATGCTGCCACTATGGTGGCAGTCTCTGCTGGCAGCGGCCACTACGCTGCCACTATGGCGGCAGTTTGGCTTTCCTGCCAGTAGGCTGCTCGATCATCTCCCAGTTTTACAGGCACCGTCTTGGTTTCAAAGACATGGGATGACAAGATGAATATTCTCCAGCGGAGGATTTCACTTTAGTTTTTGAAAAGAAGGCGGACTATGAAAAGTTCTGTGTGTACATTCTGGATGAAAAAAAAAATCAATGTGTTTTTGCCAGATTGGAATAAACTCTGTAAATAACAAAAATTACAAGTAACCATAAATCTTCATGGCTGTTGCCTCTCCACATCTTAGATACAGTTAAGGAGGAGGATACTGATAACTAAACCTTAAGAATTTAGTTACAACTATTACGCCCTGACATCATTTTCACCTCAAATATCCTGTGGAATGATGTCATCTTCCAGTGTTCTCTGACACCTTCATGGCCAGGTGCTTTCAGAATGGCAATGTATGTCATATTAACTAAGAATTCTGTGTAACACAACAGCAGTGTGTGTAATGCCATTCCAAAGTAAATGCAGTCACTTCATTAAAGGTTTCACACATGTGAAACCTTAAAAGGTTTAAAAACAGTTTTTTAGATAGAAGTGGCCAAGGACACCTAATGGCAGAAAGTGGCAGTGCCACTGGCCACTTATTGGCAGATGAACTACTATGTGGCTTTATGAAAATTTTAATGCAGTTTAATAAGCAATAAACATCACAATAGTATTTGCTTAGAGGTACTATAGCTACTATAAATAAATAATTTGCCAAACAACGGCAAAAAAAATAATAAAACTTAAAAAAGTAGATG